GCACTGTGGCTCAAGTGGTAGAGTGCTAGCCTTGAGCTGAAGAGCTGAGGGACAGCGCCCAGGCCCAGAGTTCAGGCCCCATGACCGGACCCCCCACCCAAAAAAAAAAGAACCTCAGGAAAGAAAGGGAAAGATTGGTTTCCTTAATATTAAAAGGACTTCAGAGGTGAAGACAGGAAGATTATGAATCTGAGGCCAACCTGGGCTATGAAAAACAACAAAAAGGAACTGGTTTTTGAGTCCTGCAGCTCATTCCCCTTAGTGGATTTTCCTTTCACTTCATTAATAAACTCTTGGTTCCCTACTTTTAAAAAAGAATAAGGAAGAGAAGGAGAAAATAAAGAAGAGAAGGGGGAGGAAAGAGAAGGGTATTTTTCCAACACCCCAATAAAAGTTGCTTCCCCAAGTTTTATCAAGAGGTAATAATACTCTCTTGAATAAGGAAAATTAATATAATTTAACTATATAAAATTAATATGAATTTACTATTAAATCTTACTTAACTAGGACTTGGTCCCTTCACAGAACAAACTGAATGGTTAGATATTCTACTTTAAGCTTAGGTAACAGAATTCAAAGCATGCAGTTAACAACAGTAAAAAGTCCACCCTTTGTAAAATAACTTACTCTGAAGCCAGCTTGAGATGGTTGTGTCATCATGCTTCATTCTCTCCTTTTCTGGATTAGCTAAAGCTTCTATGATACAATCTTTCATAAGTTAAGAAAAAAATAACTACATCTCCGAGAACCATAAATACAGAAAAATTGCTGTATCTTGGGAAAATAATTGTTTACCAATAAATTATTGCAAAGTATTGACACATACATTACATTGTAGCATCAACTCTTCACCATTAATCTCATTTACATCTTTTAGCAAGGATACCTCTTTGTGCTCAAGGCTAGTGCTCTACCACTTGAGCACAGTGCCGCCTCTGGCTTTTTTGAGTAGTTTAATGGAGATGAGTTGCATGGGCTTTTTCTGCCCATGTTGGCTTCAAACCACAATCCTCAGATCTCAGCCTCCTAAGTAGTTAAACTCTTATCCCCAATTAACCTCCAAAGAACTGGAAATAGAACTATGGGCACAATGGTAAAGCACCAACCTTGAGAGTAAAATGTTAAAGAGACAATGCCTAGGCCCCTTGAGTCAAGCTGCAATGCTGGTACTGAAAATAAAAAATCTGGTCTCTCCAGGGCATGTATCAAGTGGTAGAGTGCCTGCCGATCAAACCCAAGACCCTTAATTCAAACCCTAGAACCCCTCAAGAAAAAAATCTATGAAATTAATGTATTTCTTCACATGAAAGGATACAGGCCAAGACATCATAATTCAATGAAGTAAGATATTTTAATGAATCAACCACAGGTGTTATTAAGTTATCATACTTCTGTATTTGTGACAAGATCTGAAAGGAATCAACAAAGAACAGATGGTATTAACTAAACAAAACAGGATTTATGTCATCTAAATTGTGGCTACAATTTTTCAAAAAAAATGCAACAGTGTTTATAATAAAAGTGGTTACCTATCATTTCATATGAATATAAAATTACTATTCAATCATTTCCTTAGAGAATACTTTAGACTATATTTTCCAATTAAGAAATGGTTTTGGGCTGGGAAGGCGGCTCAGTGGTAAGCGCTTGCCTTGCATGCAGGAGGCGATTCCTCAGCACCACATAAGCAGAAAAAAAAAGCTGGAAGTGGCGCTGTGGCTCAAGTGGTAGAGTGCTGAAGAGATGAGGGACAGAGCCCAGGCCCAGAGTTTAGGCCCCACGACCCGACCCCAAAAAGAAATGATTTTAGAGGAAACTAAACTTAGATTTGCAGGAGATAGAAGTTAATCTTATGTTAAATGTATTTCAGAATTACAAAACACCAGTGTTAAACTGAATCACAATAAAATGCTATTCAAATGTTTCTAAAAATACAATAATACTCCCTTCCATTTGCTCACTCTTCCTCCTTCCCTTTCTGCACACCACCTCTTTTCTCCCCTCCAAAAAGACAAAGATATGCTCCCAGAAATCAAATCATGTTCAACAAAGTAACATTAGACTGACTATAACAGCAGCACTGCTAATGAGTTATTAGTAAGGAGCCAATGTTAATATATAACGAACTGTTTTATTTTTAGCATAACCTGACATTTGCTCATTTTTTCTTAAAACAATTTTACTATAGAATTCACAAACTTTATAAAACATGATAATGACAATTTGCCTTGTGAAGGTTAAAATGTGTATGTGACTTTAAGTAACACTATCCATAATATTGTGAAATCTGTGTAATCAATCTCAATAAAATATTATTAAAACATTTTTCAAGTACATCATTCCATTTTAAAACTATATTATATTTCCATATATTCTGACTTTTTTTAAAAAAAGGAAAATCCCATAAAATAATATTCATTTCAAAACATACATAATCAAACAAAATGGTTGGATTGCTGTGGCTTAACTTCCCAATTTGCCTTCCTGAAGGTTTCACGTTTTCCTTGGTCAGACGCCTACAAGGGAAGACAAGACAAAAGTGGCAGAATTATCTTTAAAAATATTGGTCATTATGCATACAAGTTTAATCACACCATGAGATAATTCCTTCCCAACTATACAAAGTGGATCCAACTAAATAACTACACTACTGCAAAAGGGGGGTTATTTTGGCTAGGCTTATCCAGAGTTTATATTACATGCTTAATATTTATAACATATGATTTCACCTTTATTTTTGACTGGAGCCTGAACTCTGGGCTTGGGCACTGTCCCTGAGCTTTTGCACTCAAGGCTAGTGCTCTACCACTTGAGTCACAGCTCCACTTCCAGCTTTTTGTGGTTAACTGAAGATAAAAGTCTCAAGAACTTTCCTGCCAAAGTTGGCTTCAAACCACATCCTCAGATCACAGCTTCCTATGTAGAAAGGATTATCAGCATGAGGCACCGATGCCTGGCTATAATTCCACTTTATAGTAATAGTATATAAAGCAGTAAAAATCGGGGCTGGGAAGGTGGCTCAGCGGTAGAGCTCCTGCCTTATGTGCCTGAAGCCCTGGGTTCGATTCCCCAGCACCACATAAGCAAAAAGACAAAAAAAAAAGCCAGAAGTGGCGCTGTGGCTCAAGTGGTAGAGTGCTAGCCTTGAGCTGAAGAGCTGAGAGACAGCACCCAGGCCAGAGATCAGGCCCCACGACCGAACCCCCCCCAAAAAAAAGTTCTCTGCTTTCCATATTAAAGGTTAACAATTTTTTACTAATTTTCTTCCTGTTTATTTGTTCCTCTGTTCATTGTTTGTTGTTTTTTTTTACAAAAACTTACAATTTTAAATCAAAGAAATTCTTACAGCTCAAAGTAGGGTACCAGTACTCACATCTACAATTCTAGCTATTCAGGAGGCTGAGAACTGAGGATTACAGTTCAAAGCAAGCCCAAGCAGAAAAGTCCCCAGAGGTGTTACTCAAGTGGTACAGCACCAGCCTTGACCAAAGAAACTAGGTACAAAGTGCAAGGCCCTGACTTCAAGCCCAAGTACTGGCACAAAAAAAAAAAAGAGGGGCTGGGAAGATGGCTCAGTGGTAGAGCACTTGCCTTGCATGCATGAGGCCCTGGGTTCGATTCCTCAGCACCACATAAGCAAAATGAAAAAAGCCGGAAGTGGTGCTGTGGCTCAAGTGGTAGAGCGCTAGCCTTGAGCTGAAGAGCTGAGGGACAGCACCCAGGCCCAGAGTTCAGGCCCCACAACCGGACCCAAAAAAAAAAAAAAAAAAAGAAAGAAAGAAAGAAATTCTTAGAGCTCAAACCAATCATTACACAGAAACAACATTTTGGAGATTATTACAAAATGAATCCAGAAACTTGAACCATGAAAAGGCTACAAATATACAAGTGAGGAGTGGCTCTGTGGCTCAAAGTGGTAGAGCACTAGCCTTGAGTAGAAAGAGCTCAAAGATAGTACCCAGGCCCCAAGGTCAAGCCCTCCCCACAAAAGAAGATCAAATATACAAGTGAAATAAATTATTTTTTCTAAAATGAAAATACAACGAAGTAAATTATGAATTCAAATTATAATTTTTGTTTATTTATTTATTTACTTGTCAGTCCTAGGGATTGAACTCAGGGCCTGGACACTGTCCAGGAGCTTCTTTAGCTCACAAAGATAGCACTCCACCACTTGAGCCACAGTGCCACTTCTGGCTTTTTCTGTTTATGTGGTATTGAAGAATTGAACCCAGCACTTCATGCACTCTAGGCAAGCACTCTACCACTAAGCCACATTCCCAGCACATGAGTTCAAATTCTAATTTAAAGAATGGAATAATTTTCAAAATAATGAACTTGATAAAACTGTTCTAAGAAGGTTCTCGTAGCCAAGTAAAAGTGGCTCATGCCTGTAATCTTAGGTTCTCAGGAGACTGCCTAGGCTAGCTTTAAAGTAGGATCATTAGATCTTAGCCTATTGAGGTGCTAAGGTGGTCAGCATGAGCTACCTTGTTTTGTTATGTTTCATGTTGAAACAGGGTCTTACTGTGTAACCCAGGCTGGCCTTGACCTCTCTATCCTCCTGTCTCAGACTCTAGAGTGCTGGGAGTATAGGCATGTACCAAACCCCTAGAACATGTCCAGCAATGGTCAAGTCATCAAAGGTCTTTGAAATAAAGGAATAATACAAAGCACTATACGTCAGATAAAAGAAATATGGTTGTAGAGAAAACAGATGAGAAGGATTTCATTAATTTAATAATACTTAATATTAAATTCTCTAGTAAAGTACTTCATTTAGTACCTAGCATATGTAGTACTGGCTCCATGGATGATGCCTGTTGTTAAGCTAGAAGCTACATCTGAGAATTCCAATAACTCATTCAGGCAAACCAGAACTGATATTTTCTCCTGCAATAATACTTTATAATAACTTTTTCCTGTAATAACTAGATTAGATAATTCTCTTTCTTTCTATAGTATTTTATACCTCATTATAACAGCAACTATTAAACAAGATTGTGATAATACACATGTCTACTTTCCCAGAAGACTGTAACCAGAGACAATATCACCAGGCAAAGACGATATTATTGCATACTATTAAATCTAGCAACACTAGAGATTGCATGACTTATAAGAATATACATGAATTTTATCAAAGAAACGACAATTGATGATAGTCTCATTAAAAATGTGAAATATAACAAGTATCTTTAGTCTCTAAAATGATACTAAACTGGATACACAATTTTTACATTTCAACTTCAAATAGTTCACCAGGAAGTAGAACCAATACCATTTTTATATTGCAATGTTATAAATGTTAAAGCAAACCAATAAAATGTAGAGATTTCTCAAAATCTGGTTCCCAGTAGAAGTTCTTCATAATTCTATTATGGTAACTTTTTGGGAAGGAAATGCCTAAAACTTTGACTGCATTATGCAAAGTAACTGTATTATGCAAGTTAAAGAATAGCAACAGGATACAGTATCCTACAGTAGCCTATAATGTGATGCATTTAACAGGATGTTTATTAGATTTATACACTATCTTACAAGTTAAAATGTGTTAGAACAAAAATTGATAGCCATTTTATATGCAGCATAGAATCAGCTTTACCTTCAGCAAATAATTATGAGCTTCCTTAAAACTGTAAAATAAATTAGAGCCAGATGTAACTTAGAATATGAAGAAAAATTAATTTAAACTTACTTCATGATATATTTGGCTCTGTCTATTGTTTGAGCTTTGACTTTTACTAAAAGTGGATGACCATTATAGGTTTCATTCTTCCACTGGCCATACAGACGGTATCTTTAAAAAAATGATGAAACGAAGAATTAGGAAAAGTCCAATACTAAAGTCTAATACACTAGAATTCTTGTTGTTAAAAATATGAAACAATTATTTACCTATGTTGATAAGGGAATGTTTTAAACATTCCCCACAGTTCCTCAGACATACAAGCATTGCAGTCCATCAAAGAAAGAGATGGAAGTAGTACCTGATCAGTAATACTAAGCAAACAGCTAAGGATAACTTCCTGAGAAGGAGAACAAAATTATTTCAATAAGAGATTCACATTACCTTCAAAATTATGATAATCTTAAGAGAAATGACAATTTCTAGATCTCATAACAGTTTCCTACACTTTTCTCCACCCAAGATAGCATGGGATGAGGAAAGGAAGGGTATTTGTTGATCCTTTCTCAGCATGTTAATCTTCAACATACAATATTAATCTTAAAAAACAACAGTGTGAGTTACTAAAAGCTATATTAGCATTTAAAATATAAATTCATTATTTAAACAAATAATTAAGTCTTCCTCATACTAAAATTTGTAGTATGCTGCACTTCTAGACAAATATTTGACACATTATTAGATTTTTTTTACCAGTCTCTTACCGTTTTGTCTTTATCTTCTTGTTTGGTTCCTTCAGACTGAAACTGAAATTTCAAAAATTAATTGAATGCACAAAGTTTGAAATTATGCCATCAATTTAGTGTCTTGATTAGAAAAAATTAACTTTTATATTTAATTATTTAACTTTTATTGTTTTTACATGAAACACACATGCAGATTTTAAATATAACCTAATAGCAATTAACATTTTAAAATTTCATGAATAATTCTAAACTCTAAGCCATTCTTCACATCCATGAACATTAAGTACTACTTTTACAATCCAATTCATTTCTCATTTTCAAGATCATTTAAATCAAAGCATCCTAAATATGATCTACATTTTTATTATTAAATATTATAAAACCACGTCCAGGCCTGGGAATGTGGCTTAGTGGTAGAGTGCTTGCCTAGCATTCATGAAGCCCTGAGTTTGATTCCTCAGTACCTATACATAAACAGAAAAGACCGAAGTGGCACTGTGGCTCAAGTGGTAGAGTGCTAGCCTTGAGCAAAAGGAAGCTCAGGGACAGTGCCCAAGCCCTGAGTTCAATCCTCAGGACTGGCAAAAAAAAAAAAAAACCACCTGCATCTAGCACAATCATTTAGTTATAAGGCATTTGCATTTTTTCAGCCAGATTTCCTCTACAGAATAAGTAAAATTAAACATTAATACAACAAAAATATTGAACAATGTTTAAACGTTTTAATTCACTACCAAAATAATTCCTAAAAAAATAAACCCAAAATATTAACAGCATTTCTGACAAAGACAAAACAATTTCTTAAATGGGACTGGAAAAAATGGGTGTATATTATACCAGCGATTTGCAGATGGGCCCTTAAAGTGATGTGCTTGGCAATGTCTAGTCATTTAAAATAAAATAGAGTGATAATAAATTGTTACATATATAAAGTTTTATGCAAACACAAACACACACGTGCATATACCCCCACACACATACACATGGGTTGAGTATTAGAATAATGTGGACAAGCCAAAGAATGACTAAAGCATTGGCACCTAAAAACAAGACTTATAGAAGGGCTATATTTCAATATCAAGTTGAAGAAGGGCAAAAGTTAATATGAAGCTAATAAGTATCTTACTTTCTTGATAGATAATCATATAGAGTATTTTCAGTATGTATGTACTTTCAGGCTTCAGTATTGTAATGCATGGTACCATAACAGGGAAGGCTAACATTTTCACTTAACACTAATTTAGGAAACATCTTATTATCTCTATGAAAAAATGCATATAAAAAGAAAAAATGCATATATTTTCTTTTTGGGGGGGGGTCCGGTCAGGGGGCCTGAACTCTGGACCTGGGCGCAGTCCCTCAGCTCTTCAGCTCAAGGCGAGTGCTCTACCACTTGAACCACAGCACCACTTCCAGCTTTTTTTTTGCTTATGTGGTGCTGAGGAATCGAACCCAGGGCCTCATGCATGCAAGGCAAGCACTCTACCACTGAGCCACCTTCCCAGCCCTATATTTTCTAACTGAAAATTGAAAGGGCAAGGAGGCAGGCACTGGTGGCTCATGCCTGTAATCTTAGCTACTGAGGAGGCTGAGATCTGAGGATCACAGTTGAAAGCCAACCTGGGAAGGAAAGTCTGTGAGATTCTTCTTTCCAATAATCACTTAAAAATCAGAAATGGAGCTATAGCTCTAAGTGGTAGAGTGTTAACAGTACCTAGGCTCTCAGTTCAAGCCCTAAAACAGGATAGATGAATGGATGGATAGAATGAAGGAGAGAGGGAGGGAGGGAGAGAGGAAGGGAGGGATGAAAGGAAGGAGGAAGAGGAAGGAATTAAAGAAGGAGGGAGGGAGGGAAGATATAGTTTCCTTTCAGAGAAACAAGTCAATATACATTCTATCAATAAATAAGGAATTAGGTACAGAAGAATAGACTGACAGAAACACAGCTAAAGAATTGTTCCATTTTGTCTGGTCATAATGAATTTGTAATTCTGGTGTCATATATCAGAATATATATTAAGGTATTCCATAATTGAAAAAACTAGAGTTTTTTAGTTTAATATGTAAAGAGTTTTAATCACTTAAGCTATTCCTTCCCTAGAATACTATGATACAATAAAACTAATAAAGCTGCACATACAAATATATCTTCTCATTGAAATAAAATCTGTTTCTAAGCTGTCCTTATGAGTTTTTAGTATCCTTTTGTCTCTAAAATTATAAAGCAGGAAAATTTGAAAATGAAATGAGAAAGAAGACAAAGGCATTTAGAAGGGCAGTAAGAAATCTTCCTAACAAAGGCTGATTAGAACATCAAGGAAGAAAAAAAATAAGAGGGACATGTACATAAAAGCGCTCGCATGCACGCACACACGGGCGCACACACACACACACACACACACACACACACAAAATGAACTTCCCACAAACCTTACTCAACATAGCCTTTGTTAATTTGGGCTTACTTTTTTACTTGTTCCTAAAAATACTAAGTACAAATATACTCTCAGTCTTTTCATTTCAAAATTTACTTTTTTCCATGAAGAAACATCTTACTAACCTCCTTCATAAATGACTTGCCTATGCGCACCACTTTTGCAAATAAAATGGGATCATGAGAAAGGTGAGGACCAAGGTAACAGAACATATTGAATACATCTCTCCTCAAATCTTCATAGCTCTCTGCTTGCTTTGGTGCTCTCTTATTTTGCAAAGCATCAACAGGTGAGCCTTTAGCACCTTTAGGAACACCAACTCTATAAAAAGAATTCAAATTTATAAACATATATACACACATACTATATTGTATCCTTCAAGTTAACACAAATCAGTAAATAAATATTTTCTTGTTCACATTTGCCTTCTGTATTTTAATCATTCCTTATTATATCAAATTAACTCCAACTCCCAACTAATGGAAAAACAAAAACAATATTTAATACAGAATAAAATCAGAGCTCAAAGAACAATGCTTCAAATTAACAAGAAAAGGAAACCAGGGAAATGTAAATCTCAGCATTTAATTATATTATATAGCTAGTTTCAAGAATTTGGATCTGGGAATGGGGAATAAGGAATGGGCCTCAGGTATATTGGAATATGAGACATAAGAATATGGCTGTAACAACACTGACTTAAGTGAATAAAAAACATTTATTACTCTATCTGGGTTCCTTACCTACACTGAGTATGTAGGAAATGGTAGTAGGAAAAGTAAGCTGAACAATCAAAGATGTCATACTAAAAAGTACCACATGGCCAGAGTTCTCACCTGCTGAGCAGGTGACAGGCTATGAAATCACGGGCATCATTCTCTGAAAAGAAGCCTTCGCAGTCTACAGCCCAAGTGGCACTGAATGCAGCTGCCAGTCGCTATGCACAAGTCACAAGGCAGGCTATGATCTGTGAAACTGAAGACAGAACTGCTGCCAATACTACTCCTAAGTATACTGCAAGTAGGCTGAGAGCCAGAGGACTACTTGACACAGTAGGGACAGATAATGAGACAGGCTATACTGGTAATTACTTTAACAACAGCATGTATGTCAGGTTAGAAGGTATGCATAGTAGCAATGTCCTCAACCAGTCACTCAACCTAGGACAGAGGAATGAATATTCCATTAGGCAAAATTCTCTACCTTCCGAAAAAAGAGGCAAATTAAAAAAAAAAAAAGAATAGAATTTTAACTCTCAATGTAGAAAATACAACCAAGTCAAACCTGTAGTTGCTTTTTTTTCAATTTTAATTTCATTTTCCCAAAATTTTATTGACATTAACATACACTATCAGGGTGTTTCTTTTTGACATGCGGTATACAAATACAATGTACCTTGGTCAGATTTACCTGCTCTGTCACACTCCTTCAACCTATGTTTATTATAATAGTAACCTTATACCCCATAGGTTAATGATAATAACTGTTAGGGTTAGGGAGGTTTACTAATTGGTGTCTCACTAATTAATAACAAATGGGATACTACATAATAAATAAGAGATTGAATTAAAGTGAGTATATCTTGAAGTATCAAGTTCCCAGAACTACAGTTTTGTTTTACTTTTTTTTATTATCTTTAAGTAGTTGTCCAAAGGGATTTTAATTCAACTTGTCAGTTTGAGTGGAATGCATCTTCATTAAACCTATAGTTTCATACTATACTGTAACACACTTTTAAACAACTAGACATTAGAACTCACTAATTAATATACATAAAACTAATATACCTTATAAACAGTTATCTTGAGAAAAAAATGTGTCAAATGTGCTTTGTTTGAGAAAACAAGGTAAATACAGATTTTTTTAGTCATTCTCAACCATTCCTACCTCAATCATTAGTGCCATACACAGTAACATACCTTCTATAGAGAGGCTCAACAGTTATGTGAATGAGCTTGCAAATAGCCAGAGCTATTTGTTTATGTGAAGCTGCATAGTACGGAGGCAACTGATCCATAATATTCTGTGCATGCTGCCAGTCACCAATCATTAACAAGGCTTCTAGTAAACCAAGTTTTTGGTTGTCAGGTGGCTAAAAATAAACAAAGTAAAAACAAAAATAATTAGGATATAGACATCAAGAACAATAAATACTTTTTCTCTTAAAAGACTGAGCTGAACTATTGTTCAGCTATATACAACAAGAATAGTTCTCATTCCTGGGAAACCAGAAAGCCTTTAACATTTTAGCTCCTGAAGAAAAACAATGGATCTGTGTTTTCATTTAGCATACAAAGGAAATAGAGTTTATGAATAAAATTTACTTAGTGTATTAAAGTTACTTAATGCTTAATGTTATTCTATATCAAAGGGAACTAAAATCAATTCACCTTCGCAAATCCCTTTGGAATTTGAGGAAGATTAATACACAGAACAAAAATACAATCGAGGGACTGGGAAGATGGCTCAGTGGTAGAGGCTTGCCTTGCATGCCTGAAGCCCTGGGTTCGATTCCTCAGCACCACATAAGCAAAAAGAAAAAAGCCGGAAGTGGCACTGTAGATGAAGTGGTAGAGCGCTAGCCTTGAGCTGAAGAGCTGAGGGACAGCGCCCAGGCCCAGAGTACAGGCCCCACGACCGGACCCCCCCCCCCAAAAAAAATACAATCGATAAATACTGTAATTTTTCTTATAATACATTGTGAAACATACACAAAAATATTGTTTCTTTCAGGAAGGTTGCACTCAAAAGAAAAAAAACAGGTCACTTTTGTAAAATGAGTATTTCCAAAACCAGGTTTTAAAACAATCAAAAAAATTAAATACATTTTTTATTGTAAAAATAGTGTATAGAGGGGTTACAGTTACATGAGTAAGGTAATGAGTACATTTCCTATTGAGCATTGTTACCTCCTCCTTTGTTTTTCCCCTACCATCCCTTCTCTCTCCACCTCCCCAACTCTTCCCTCCCTCCCCACCACAAGTTGTAAAGTTCGTTTTCAAGATAGTGTCTTGTACATCTCATTGTTAAAATGGGTCAACATGTATCCTTATTTAAGCATTTTGTTTTTTCCCTTCCCCTCCCCAAATTATAGAAGTGTGTATACAAGATGCAGGGCACAGACATCAAATACAGTGAAAGCAGGGATTATACCATGGGGAAAGAACATACAAAAGAAACAAAAAAAAAAATCACACAGTACCTAATAAGTACATTAAAAACAATAGCAAGAAAGAAAATGCCACTTATGCCCGTCTTGGGGTTCATTTCACTTAGCTTCAATTTATATGGTCATATATACATAGCTTTTTACCTTTTCTGCTTGTCCTAGACATATACTAGTTATTGCAAATAAAGAGAAACCATGGGACCTATGTTTCTTTGGGCCTGGCTTACATCACTTAATATAATTTTTTCCAAGTCTTTCCATTTCCTAACAAATGGGGTGATGTCATTCTTTCTGATGGAGGCATAGACTCCTCTGTGTGTGTGTGTGTGTCATTTTCTTGATCCATTCATT